CTCTAGGGCTGCGATGTGCTCCTCTGAGGCTGAGCTCTTGTGGAGCCACTCCGCTAGCTCGGGGCTAAGCTCGGGGCTAAGCTCGGGGCTGAGCTCGGGGCTAAGCTCGGGGCTAAGCTCGGGGCTGAGCTCGGGGCTAAGCTCGCTGAGCTCGCACGGTTCGGACTGCTTGGAGGGACGTGTCATGGCGTGGCGTGGGGAGAAGGAAGAAACGCCACGGAGCTTGAGCCAACTGCCAGCTGAAAGCACGGCCGGTTGATTTGATGTTAGAAACCAACCCAGAAAAAGACATGTAAAAAAGTTGGTATCCTCAAATCCATCCTGCAGTTCGGTGCAGTTTCGGAATTTCCGAACAGCCTGAAATCATACCGGATTTCTGGTGGCTGTGTCTCAGCTTGTTCTGCATTTACAAAAAAAATAATCGGGAAATGAGTTTGTCTGAAAATAGGTCACCCCAAACTTCATCGCTTCAGAAACTACATAATTTCCCTCAAACCCATATCCATTATTATCCATTATTCACTGCTTGCATATCCCATTGCAGTATATCCTCATGAAGTTGCTGTTGTAGTTTATACCCTGTGGTGTTGATATGTTTTGATATGGTTGTGTTTTATATAATTTTTCGGCACGTGACAGTTACACCAAAGTTACACCATGTTTACCATTTTTCATACACCCTGATGGCCGATGAATAAACCCCTAGTGTTGATGGTCACCTCCCTATTGTGGGTTTTCTTATTATAGTTTAATCCCTTTAATCATCATGTACCTTGTTGATGATTCAATCACCATGCAGCCAAGGTATGCCAAGGTGCAGGTTTCCACCACCGCCTTGCCTTTGAAACCTTGGTTTCGTCATAGGATCCACCATGTTCAGGTCTGACTTACCATTTTTGTGGCTGAGATAAATGATAGAAACCATCCAAATATGGTGTATTGTTTTACTGAATTTACTAATATGAAACTTTCTGAAACGGAGAAAATTTAATCAGCCTTGTGGTTTTCCACCAGCCAAGGGGAAAAGAAATGGGATTCTCTGACTCTCTTCACTATTTTCACTGAACAAAAAACTCTCGCAGCGTGGATATCGGGATGTGAAGCACCGACTGGAAGAGCTTGACCCAGTTCTCTCGGGGTGTTTGAACCATGTTTCACAGCTGACACTGGTTCCGAATTGTCATCTCAAGGTCAAGCTAAAAAAATGTCAACCCGGAAGTGGATAAAATACACTGCATGTTTTATTTCTAAGGCTCCAGGCAAGTGGGTGAAAAACGGGTAGCCCATTAATCCACAGCCGAATTTCACACCAGGGGACCAGGGGCACACTTGGCAGATACGTTGAAGTCCTCCAACAGCAGGGATTCCTCGAACCTTAGGCACTTACCCCCAGGCACCTCAGAAACCAACTAATATGGCACCCGAAACTGGTGTACCTTCAAGGCTTCTTGTTTACACACTTCCCTCAACTTGGGAGAATCTTCCAAGGAAGATTCTTGACCCCACAGCCACAAAAAACGCGCTTGTTTATCCAGCAACAATCCCCGCCAAAGTAGTCTCGAAAAAGACAGTTTGCCCAGTTGCAACCAGTTTTTCACCTCCCCTCCGCGTTTGACTGAACCTGGTGCAATTATCCAAGTATGAGAGTGATTCATCATCATTGGGGTGGTACACAGCATGATACAACCCATTTTCACACCCATCCCCTCCCATCCGCCACGGCACACGACATAGCCCGACTTGAAGTCATCGACAGGGAAGGACCTGCAGGCATCCGGCTCGCAGCCCGAAAGGCTGAAGGTGCCCCCATCCTTGCGGCAGGGAGTCACCTGCGCAGCAATGGAAACTGGAAAAAAATCAGAACCAAAATGGGGAAAATGCAGGTCTCCAACCCAACAAAGATGGCCAAAAAAAATCTGGACATGTGATTTCATAACATGTTCCAATATGGTTTGGATATGAATGATATGAATCGCAACCATTTTGATACCTTAACCCATCTTAACCCATATATTGAAATCAAAAAGAAGGGCCGAAAATTCCGGGAAATCCCCAGCAGAGCACAGATTTCGGCCTGTGGCACACCAGAGGCTCCTTCAGCACAGCTGGCGCCCACGTTGAAGCTGGGTAGCTCCCTGGACAGCACCTGGAAGTTCGCCGGGCCGGCGGCCGGTCGTGGGATCTTCCGGCTGAGTTTTGGAGGAAAAGATGTGGGAAACATCATCGAAGTACCATCCTGGAAACACGTGTCTTGTTTGGGGTTGATATGAATATGAATATGAATATGAATATGAATACGAATATGAATATGAATATGAATAATTATGAGGGTTTCCAATGCCCAAGTTTGAGACATACCCACTTAAAAGGTGAAAAATGCCATGCTTCTTTGGTCATAAACACTGCACAAACACCAGTTTAAGATCTTGAACCCTCAAAGTTATCTCAAAAGAAAGCCAAAGAAAGGGAATTTCTTCCAGAATCTCCAAGTTCAGAAGTTCTTTTCCACCACGGCTAACCATCCATCCATTCCAAAAATCATTCGATCGATCCCATGCATCCTCAGTTGGAATCTCAGCAGTTTCCAATCTTTGGGGAGTTAGCCACTGTGATGTTAAAGCCCACAGGGCAAACGATGAGCATAAAAATAGTGGCCCTAAAAACCCCAGAAAATAGACCAAGATACCAGTACAGTGGGCCAGCGAAATCCGAAGCACCAGTTGAAAACGGTGGTTTATCCCAGTATTGAAAAAGGCTTTGAACCATCCAAATTGGTACCATCCACAGCATCGACCACATAGATTCAGCTCAGATTGCGATTTTTCCCCTAATATATTGGATAGCATACCCTCTGGTAATGGCTGACATAGCTATTGAGCATGGCCATTTATAGTTGATTTACCCATTAAAAATGGTGATTTTCCATAGTTATGTTAATAGTTTACCAGAGGGTAACCCCATGAAGAAATTACCAGGGGTTTTGAACACAGATTTACCTGGTAAAAGGAAAACCATAGGTCCTCTACATGACCACGTTAGACTCCCCGAAGTCTTGGTGAGGCTCATGGCAACTCGGGATTGCTGGGATTGCTGGGAAAGGCCAGGATTTTTAACGACCAATACCCAAGACCTCAGAATTGGAAAGTCCAAATGAAAAACAGGAAAAATACCATCTACAGCCTGAAAAAATACAGAAACTCTCCAAAAAAGATATCTACATCCGAAACATATTTTGGGAAAAAACAACTCCCAACAAAAATATGTTGTTGGAACTTCAGCAAAATAAATCTCAATGTTTGAACGCTCATTTCCAAGTAATTTGGGAAACATTAGTGAACAGAATATGTTTCGAATATGTCTTGCAATATGTGATCTCAAACATGGAGATCTCCAATTGTATCTTCCATATTGAACATATCCTCTTGTAAACTAACATGGATGTCTGGCACAAAACACCATTTGCAAAGCATTCTCCTAAGGACACCATCGCTTTTGCACGTCTATGTTGGTTGACCCCAAGGCAATCTCCAAGGTTTCCAGGCACCTCCAACTTGTAGTACTTCATGGCCTTTGCTTCCGGCGCTATGCAGCGTTTGGCACCACAGCCGCTGAGCAGGTAGGGTCCCCCGGGCTCAGTGCAAATCTCAACGATGGCCGTACCCTTGTAGCCCTGGGACGCGCACCCGGATGGGATGGATATCAACAAAAACGGGGGGCATTTCATAGGGATTGAGTGGGGTTGAACCGTTTGAACCAACAGTGAATCGTATTTACATCATCTTCCGCTTCCAGCAAAATATCTAGGGTTTGACGGAGACTGGCACTTCATGGAGATATAGTGGGATATAAGCAACAATTATGGGTACAGTAATGGGTCTGATAGTGGAGTTAACGGGTACCCCCCCAATGATCACCCCCGCAACAACGGGGGCTTATTGTTTGCCCCATTCATAGGGGTTGATGGTAAGCGATACCCATTGAATATATTCATCTCAAAATCCAAATACGAAGCACCACGGGTCGCAGAAATTCCATACTCGATATCCAAGAGTTGGAGTTGCTAAGTTGCTAACTTACTTCAGTATAACACTGTATAAAACATCATATGGCTGTGTGTCAAAACCAATAGTACCCCTTTTTTGTTCACATCAAAATAGCTGGGATTTATGGATGTTCATCCCACTAAAAATGGTATTTTCATAGGTATTGATCCATACCCATATAGCCCCTATGCCTCCCTGCCTCCCCGTGTTTTCCACACCTATTCCCCGTGGTGAAAGCCCCATCTCATAGGCGTGCCTTGGCACAGCTAGCCTTGACGTCGAACTTCTCCATCCGCCTGGAGGCTTCGTACCTGGCTCCCATGAAATTCGGATATTCGAACGACGAAGTAATGGGATATGGAAAAGCAACCGGGTTGGATATAGGTGATAATTATTGGGATATTTTCATATATTTTCAATGATTTGGAATATTTATTAGTTGGAATATTTATATATGGTAATTATTGGGGTAGCCTCCGGTAATCAAACTGGGAAATCTGGGAAATCGCCGAACTTTTTATGCAGGTTTGAATCGGAAAATCAACTATCAATTGGGAATTGTCCAGGACGCCATGTTTGATTACCGGAGGGTATCTATTAAGTGGATAGTTTTATATAATTATTATTGGGATATAAATATATATATATATACATATATATATATAGATCCACTTACTGGAACATTTATTAATTGAAATATTACCCTTGATAGTGATAGGCAGTGATAGGGTTTGCATGTTGAGTAGTATTCAAAACCACTGCTGGTTGATGCTTGTAGGGGACTACACTAAATAGAAAACATTGGGATTATCACAATCCATGGGCGGGAAATCCCTATCAAGTAACCTTTAAAAAAAAGTAGGACAGAGGCTTTACGACACTGCGAAAACTGGATATTTATCTGGGATAATTATCTGGGATATCGTGGTGTTTTACCATGTAATGTAACACCAATATCGGTGATGTCAACGGTAACGTTAACGGTAATGTGATAGCTAGCAAGTCCTTGAGGATGGTCGATTTTGGTTAGATTTCTATCTCATAAATATTTTCATCGAGGCGATTAAAAGTGTTATAATCTAAAGAACTAACTCAGGCCCAATACAAAAAATGCAGAAATAGATTCATCACTATCTAAGCGTAGGATTTTACAAAATGTTGCATCGTTGTTGGGTTGCTATTATGTTAATATTCAGCCAGCGATATCAAAATAGTGCCAATAATGTTTCAAGCAATATTGATGCGAATAGTATTCGGCAACTACATCTAATGTCTAAACATGCGGATTTTTTAATATACGAACTGGTGTATTTCAGACTACCTTCGGGAAGGTTTTTCTTGGCCCGCCCGGCCATTTAAACATACGGAATCCAATCTATCTAAACATACGTTTAAATGTACGGATGGAACTGGTGTTTCATACTACCTCCGGGGCCTTGTGGTCTGGGCCGCCCTCCACATATTCCACATATTTAAATGTCGCTACGTGAATAAAGCGGCACAATTTACATCAATTGGGATTATTGACCATGCTTTTAAGGATGCTACTGTATAGCGTGTTGAAACACATTTGTTGGAGTCCCAAGTACTGTAGGGTAAAGTACAAAAAAACGGCAAAAATAAAGCAGAAAATCATGGAAAATCTCACTGCAGCAAGAGTTGAGGAATGCGGGTGCTCCTCCAAAAACAATGACAGTTTAAAAAATAGAACTGTCTTCGAGCGATCCCCTCCCTGACACATGAGCGATCCCCTCCCTGACACATTATTCTGACATACTTTCTGACATACCATCTGGAAAAAAAAACAAATAGATAATATAATACAAAACAATACAATATAATACAATACAATATAATACAATACAATATAATACAATACCAATACGATACGATACGATACAATACAATACAATATAATATAGTATAATATAATTATTTTATTGTTTGTTTATTTGGATACATATATATATATATATTGGATATAGGATATATATGTATATATACATAAATATTTATATATGTATATATATAATAAATATATATGTATACAAATATATACTTTTCTGACATTCTTTCTGGCATATACTCTGACATTCTATGCTGGCATCTATTCTGACATTCCATTTTGCCATTCTATCTGGCATTCTATTCTGGCATCTGACATTTATTCTGACCTTCTCTCTGACATGGGCACTCCAGAACCTCAACCGCGAGCGCCGGCAGTACTCACTGAGATCTGGTGCCAGCGGTTGAGGTCCGGCAGTGCCCGACATCTGGAGCTCGCGATTGAGGTCCGGCAGTGCCCACTTAGATCCAGAGCTCGCAGTTGAGATCCGAGGCTGCCGGAGGAGAAGGAGAAGAAGAAGGAGGAAGCAACTCTGATAAAATCTAGAGACCCTACCTGGCAGGTGTGGAAAAAGTTTCTGCAATGAAAACAATCATCTCGGTGGGCCCACACAGAACAATCAGAAGTGTCAGAACCGCATCAAAACTGGACCCTGAGACTTCCCTGATAGAAACTAGCTATGGTTCAACTTCCCCTACAAAAATGGGGAACAAGGGATTTATATTATTTTATAATCAGTTCCCAAGCACCCACAAACGGATTTTGTCTGTTTCTAAAAAACGGTACTTGTGAAGCATCCAAATTCATGGTGGTGCTATCCTGTGGGGGTCCACCCATACCCATCTTCCCATAACATGGTGACATGTCTTGAGCCAAGGTGCACAATGTAGCCATCTTCCATGCTAGCGCGAGGAGATGTGCATTCCATCGGCTTGCAGTTCTTCAACTTGAACCTGGAACCGCCCACACGGCCCTGGATCACCGGCTGACACTGGCAACACCCTGGTACCTTCAGGTGACGAGTGAATCACAAACATCATTTCATGAAGTTCCAAAATAAACATCCCGTAATTTCACAGGGTCTTTGAACATCCAAACATGTGGTATTTGTGTCTATTCTGTTCACTTTCAAGATGACCGGGAGTACCACTGTCGCCATGCCCAAATTGCCAAATCAAACCGGGAGTCCCCGTTGAGTTCCTGCGGAAACAACAAGCCTTGCAGAAGTGTTCAGGCACCAAGGTTCATCACTACCACTATCTTTTTAGAGACATACTTCCACCTGTACTATTTCAACACTATCATTGGTTGCCCCTGCCCCCATGTCCAAATACTTAGTTCAAACCCAACTTTTGCACCTGGGATCACAGAACCCGGCCATTTAAATGTTGCCATTTCCAAGCGGGGCGACTTTTGCCACCGAAAATTCAAGCGGGTGATTCCGGCGGTAGAGGATCAACATGGATCAACAAACATCCAAACAAGCAACTGGCTCCCACTTCTCAGCCTGTCAGCCCACTAACCATCTAGAAACTATTAAGGAAATCCCCATGATGATATATGATCAGTAGTTATCCACCCCTTTGTAACGCTGGTTACATATATACTAATTCTTGGTGGTGGTTTGCTAGGCCCTTTCCGTTAGCAGCTGGTTGGCAGCTGGAGTTAGGACTCAAGCGTCAAGTGGAAGACACCCCAGGAAAAAAAAGCACTACTGGGAACCTGAAAACATGGCAGTTAGATGTTTTACTATGCTTTACTACTAAATATGGCCCCACCGTTGGGTTCAATGTTGAATTTAGGGGGCCGTAAGCCTAAAAGTCGTGACTCGTTCACCACACATCAACCACCCCTCCAAAAAATGATCCGAAGAGCTATAAAATCAGCAGCTGGTGTGAATATGTTTGCGGGATATCAGAGATGATATTACCACATCATTCCTATGCCTCCAGCTTTTCTACTTACCCTCCAGTAATCAAACGTGGCTTGCTGGAAAACCCTGCATTTCGTTCGATGATTTTCCCAGCTGTGACCTCTGTGAGACCCGAGATTTTTCATCCTGCCACCCTTGATTACCAGAAGGTCATCCCATTAATAGTCATACAACTATTATTACTTGGCTCTTTTATTAATCCCATTATAAATCCCATTAATTATCATTATATCATTATTTAATCACCATGAATATCAACCATTAATAGAGCCAAGTGGCGGCTCGTTGCTCTTGAAGCAGGGAACAGCCGCTGGCACCACTCCGGCTTCGGCTACGCCTGGTGCCAGTTGCGACCCTCTGGTGTCATCAGCTCCAATACATGGCATTTCAATAGGAAAACCATCTATATGGAGGTTTCCTGGAATGGGGGTACCCCCAGTTATCATCCATTTTAGGTTCGGATTTTGTATTGTTATACCATGGAATGGGGTATCCCCATTTATGGAAACCATCGAAAAATAGATCTTTGAATCGGAAAATCCTGGGATCTTCCAGCTTTTCACTTGATATTACCGGAACTACGATCTGTTCACCTGAAAATGGTGGAGTGGGGTGACTAACATGGTATAACTCTGAGATCTGCTGGGACTTTTTGGTCGGACTATGCTGGGATGACTATCCTAAAACCCAACTAACCCAACTGGTAAACTACGATCCTATCCTATCTCCAGTGCCAAGTTCTGGCTAAGCCTGGACACTCCGCAGAACATACGATTTTTTTCACTGTATAGGTCGACAAAAAAAATGAATCCACTTCCTCACTCAACCAAGGTAAACACCCAACCCAAATAGAAGATTTCTGTGCAGCACAGCTGCAGCACATGGCCACGCTTTAGCGACATATCGCTCTAATCCATTGAGCGGCGCCTTTGCATTTCACATCCACCGAAAAGGTGGGGACGTGCATGTCCGTGACGGTCACATCGTAGTCTCGAAGCTCCTGACAGTCGAACAGTCGGACAGTCCATGACATCACGAGATGCTGGAGGTACAGTCCATGATCAAAACTGCACTCGATAGAAAAAAGGCAACTGCGTAACAATATAACTTATCTTCAACCATGTCTTATAGCTAATCTCTGCAGAATCCGCACACAACCCGCGAGATCTCCTCATGAACCGCCATGGCGCACTTAATGGGGCTGCATCCGGACAAGGTGTAGGCCGTCAAGGGCTTCTCGCACTTGTTCACCTTGGCCGTCCCCTCGAAACCAGGAGCACAAGTGGCCGTGACGTCCCACGAGTCCAATCGCTTGGAGGCTTCAAACCTAGGCTGAGGAATTGAAGGACAAATGTTCAATGGCTATTTCAGGTACCTACCATATATAAGGCCTATATAAGGCCTATGTAAGGGAATATCCCCACAAAATATGTCACAGGAAATCAGCAGGTGTCTGGAAGCAAAATATTTCAGTGGCGAAGTCGAAATTTGCTCCCCGATCTATTTAGGCGATCTGGCAGAACCAGAGATCTGTGCAGCGGAGAGGGAAATCAGAATGAGGCTGGCCCTGGCTCAGTCACATGTACAAATTCTCCAGTTAAGGCCAAGTTCAAAAGGATGAAAAGCCTATCAAAACCGCCCAGAAACACTTGATATCCGTCATCCGCGCTGGTCTTGTTGGTGGTGCAGGTGAATGGCAGGCATCCGAAAATCACATAGGGCTCCATGTCACTCTTGCATTGCTTCACCACAGCTTTGCCTCGGGTGGTTGAAGCCCCATTGGGCCCAGTAAAAGCTGTGAAGTGTTGCTGGGGCCTGGAGGATAAAGGTTGAAGTGGTTGACAAGTGAGTAAAACTCTTCATACAACGTCCTGAACAGGGTATGGGTCAAAACTTTTGGGGTATCATCAGTACCTTATTGTCCTGCTGCACTGGATGTACAAAAACAAAACTAGAAAAAAATGTGCTTAAATGGACCTAATCATTTGCCCTTGTTCCAATGTCTGAATGCAACCAGCCCCAAGCCTGAATCTGGGGTTGTTTGAAAATCGCGTGCCCCAAAGTATGATGGCTAATCATCATTGTCCCTATCAAACTGCCCACAAATGGATGGTAAAGGTTGATCAGTTGTATATCCCCATTATCTATCTATATATCTATCTATCTAGCTATCTATCT